CAGGTATCTTTTTTATAGAGTGATTTGTGTTCTTCAGGGTATATTCCCAGTAGGGGGGTTGCGGGGTCATATGGAAGGTCGATTTTTAGAGCTTTTAGGAATCGCCACACTGAAGCAAAACCAACTGACACTTCTTAACCTGTACCCAGCAGGACCCACGAAAGCGCTCTTTTCGCCCAGAGATCCAGTCCCATGGGTCATTCGTCCTTGGCACTGGGATCTGGCTGTGGCTCGATAAAAAGGCTGCCTGTTTGGTGAGATCCCCCCGGTATGGCCTCCAGCTCCACACCTTCTTCTGTATTAAGTCCTTACCCCATGTGGCTAAATGTTGCAGCTTTGTTCTGTTCCGTTTTAAATGATGGTTAAATTATTTGTAAGGGAATTTTGTCCCAATTACAAACTTTTCTTTTGATTTGTACTCATCACTTCATTGCCTTGAAATGAAAATCTAAGTAACACACATTGATAAATCCTGAGATTCAAGGCCACTACGTTTAAACTTCTCATTAAAGTGTCACGAGATTCTTAATTATTAAGTGAACTCTCCCAGAATGCAGCCTAAGACACTATATTTTGCTAACCAGTGATCTTTTAATCGTATTCAGTTGCATTCTTGAACTATCAGGGGAGCTCCTTTGATATAAAAGTAAATCCTGTTGCACTTTGTTACAAAAGCTTGCTGATTAAGAGAACTTTAGCTTTTAAATTGGTCACCTCTAAATACAAATGGAGATTTGTTTCCCCCAAATTAATCAAGATTCATAAACTCTGCTATCTTCCAATTTTCCTATACCATATAAATTTCTAATTTTATTTTAATTTCTCAGTTGCACTTTATAAAGTTTTCCTACAGAAAAGAGGTTTCAAATCATTTCTAATGATTCTGAATGCTTCCTATAATGTGCAACTCTACTGGTTGCTACCTGGGCTAAATTAAAACCAGAGATAAATTAGATCAGAGCTTCTAAACCTCGGCACCACTGACATTTTGGGTTGGGCAGTTGTTTTTTGGTGGGGGCTACTGTGAATTGTAGGATATTTAAACAGTAACATTCTACAATCAAGACAGTTAGCCATAGAGGCAATCCAAAATGTATCTAGACATTACTCTATGTCTCTTAAGGGGACATATTACCCCCAGGTTTGAGCCACCATCGTACATATAGTCCTAGCCTTAAGGAATTTTCAGTCTTGTAGCAGGAATGCATATGATTCTAATATGAAGTAGATTCAGGCAAATTGTCAAGAAGAAGGAAAACTGAATGTTTACTATGTGACAAACAATAACCTGAATGCTTTCAGGTGTTAGTTCATTAATCCTCACAATCACTTGTGGAAGAGCCTTATATGTATTTTTGCAGATGGGTAAAATGAGACTGAATATTCCAGGGTGAGATCACCAAGGGGGAAAGGTATGGGTTATATTCAGGTAAGAGCTAAAAATCACATCAGATGAGAGTTTTGGAACTTTATACTACAGCATTGGAAATCAGAGCTGGGAAGACCAGTTTAGGGCCCTAATCAGCGGGCTTTGAGCGTGTATCAAATCACAATTCTAACTCTGTCATTTTTCTACACAACATGCTTAAGAAGCAACCCCTGCAAAAGTATAACATTTTTCATGGTATACAACTCCTTCCTGATACTTGGCTTCTTTTCTAGGCCTATTTCCCGCCACTCTTTGTCAGAATTGATGCCAATAGGAAGCAGTTAGTAATTTGTTGACATATATCAGGTGGTTTCCCTCCTCTGTTCCTTACTCATTTCCTCATCTGCCAAGGAAGAATGCCAACGCCCTGTACCTCCCCCTTCTCCTCCCCACTCAGCCATGCACCTCCGGTAATTCTCACTCATTTTTAAGACTGAATTAATGTCTGGCAATCCATTCCCTGAGTACCTCGGAGCTTGGCCCCTTTGCGATAGACCTGGAGAGATGGGAGGGCTTTGAGAGGGAATCGAGGGGTGGAGAGGACATCTTCCAGGCAGAGCTCAGAACAGAGCTGGGAAGATATGGGCTTTGCTTAGGGAGGAGGAAGTGGCTCTGGTTCAGAGGAGTTTGGGCTGGATGAAGAGAAATAATAGGGCGCAGAGCCGAGAATAGTGACTCGTGGTGCTACAGTAGAGCTGAGTTCCCGCGACTAGAGTAAAATAGTTTTATTTTGTTCCTTATTGAGAGATGGCTAGAATAAAATAGAAGTCACCTGTGGCATTAGACGAGGGAAACACAAACCCACTAGTGAAAAAAAAAGTGAAGAAAGCAGAATATCCCGGTTGTTTTCATCTATGGCATTCAAAGCAGAGCTAAAAGTCTAAGCCTTTTTATTTTTATTTATCTTTTCACCTTCATCCACCTAATGAGATTTGTTCACTTCTAATTCACCTGATAGGGAATTACATATCATCTTGATATCATTACTGACTGAAAGGAAATTATATTTTCTCTCTACAACTAAATCAGATTAAAATTCTTTTTTGTATCCACAAACCAAATTATGATTGTATATCCCAGAAATTCAGTTACAAGTTAATAGCTACAATGAAACCAAA